TGACCTCAAGTTGTAGGGGCCAGACCCGGATGTGGCTTCATTTGGTGGCTCCATGACCTTGGGCCAATCCCAAGATCTGAGCCTCAGTTTCCTCATCTGTGCAATGGGGATAATCACATGATTTACAAATTAGATGATGCCGTGGGCTTGCTTGAAGGCCCGGTAAACAGCGAAGGCTGCCCACCTGGGCCTTGGGAGGTCACACAACAAGCTGACTTCACGCTCCCACTGTTTTCGGGGTAAAGGAAGCTTTTATTCCCATGACTTCATCGGCAAAGGTCCTTCCTCTGGAGGAAGAGAGCAGAGTGGGAACAGCTTAGCTGCATGAGGCTGCTGGGAAGCCAGGCCCAGGCCGTGACATGAGGGCCCAAGAATGAGGATTAGATTTCAGTCAGGCGTGAAGGCGCGTGGGGGAGGTGCCTCCTGCTCCAATGATCCCATTCTGCGGCCACTCATTCAGCCCTTCCACCCTGGGACACACTGACCCGCCTGATGCCAGCCCCGCTTCTGACCCGTGGGCTGCCTCTGCAGGGAAGGCCCCCATTTCTGGTGCTCCTTGATCTGTGTGATTCTTTGCTAAGCTCCACCTTCCTCTGAGTGAAAGCCACTTTGAAATGTGACCACAGGCCATGCAGGGGCCCCACCTGAAGCCCCTGGCCTCTTTGCTGTCCGCCCCCAGCCCAGGCAGTGCCATCCCCTCGTGACTGTTACAGAAGGCTGCCCCGGCACCAGAACCGATTTGATTTGGGCCCTCTGGCAGGGCCTGTGACATCACTAGGATTGTTCATTGTTTGGGAAAATAACTTTTTCACATGGCAACAGCCCCTGTCTTCAATGCTGGCCTGAAAGCTGGGCCCCCCACTGTGAAGTGAAATGACATCACACCAGTATCTTAAGGGTCATGTTCCCCAAATCGGGACACCTCATCCCTGCGTGTTCTCAGTGTTGCCAGCAGTGGCAGAGCCTGAGCCTCACCTTCCCAGGGCTTGGGAGGGGCCAAACAGCCTCCACCTTGAGCCATAGGGCAGCCAGGGCCCCGAAGGGAATTCAGGCTGTGGGATGCCCACTACCCACAGGGAAAAGACAGGGCCTCGCTTTCTGTAGCAATGCTCCAACTCATCCTGGATCTCTTATTTCACACCAACTAGAATAGGGAGAACCCTGACGAGCAAACCTTAGACTATGGAGATGTAACCTGCCTAGTGGGCAGGAGTGCCCCTCCAGCCCCATGCCCGCTCTGCCCATGGGCTTCGTCCTGGCCAAGCTGCCTACTTCTCTGGGCTAATTGGTGGGAAATGGGATGAGGTGCTGATGTGGATGAGCTTTTCCAGAAGCGAGAAGGTACCATTCACACAGCTGCACCTCCTGGGGACAGGAGCCCCTCTCTACCAGCAGAATACAGGAAAGCATCCCACGCCAGGTGCTGTGGGCCACAGACACGGTCCCTCTGAATAAGTGAAACCGAACGAAATGTTAACACATTACACTGAAGGTGCATGTCACATTCAGACATGTCACGACAAAGTTCCATACATCAGGCTTCTTAATAGACATTCCAATGGAACCAGACACGAAAACCCACCAGAGGAACCCTTCGTGCTTTGAGGGCTTTAAAACATCCCCGTTATATGCATGAATTTGGGAGCAAATGTCCTTAATTGTAACAAACCTGCAGAATATTCGCAGGTGGAGTAAGTTCGGATATCTTGCTGGGCACATATGACCTCAGCCAGTGTTTCTCATATTTCTCAAATGTTTTCCTAAAGACTTGCTTTTCTTTTTTTGAGACAGAGTCTTGCTCTTTTGCCAGGCGCCAGGCTGGAGTGCAGTGGCACGAGCTCAGCTCACTGCAACCTCCGCCACCCAGCTTCAAGCAATTCTGCCTCAGCCTCCGGAGTAGCTGGGATTACAGGCACCTGCCACCATGCCTGGCTAAGTTTTGTATTTTTAGTAGAGACAGGGTTTCACCATGTTGTTCAGGCTGGTCTTGAACTCCTGACCCTCAAGTGATCCACCTACCTCCACCTCCCAAAGTGTTGAGGTTATAGGCGGGCCCATTTGTGGCTTTTAAAGGCAGGACTTCTCTCTAGCATCCTCACCTGCCATTCAAAGACATCTTCATAGAGTAAGTCTATGGGACTTGCCGAGCCCTGCGGGACAGATTCTCATGCGGGGCAGGGCATGCTTTTCTTTAAACACCCACTCCACCCAACTCGACACCATTCCCATATCCTATGAGAAAAGAGGTGGATCACAGGGAATGATCGCCTTCTGATCCCATGCTTTTCCTGAAGTATGAGGTACTTCCTGGTTTCTCCACCTGCCAGGCACGAAGCCAGCCAGGTGGAACGCATGAGTGGCCAGAAAAGGCAGGTGACAAGGGCCAGCTTGCGTCTGAGGACTGACCTTGGCCCATCCCCCAAGCCTGGGGGGGGCACCCCCTACCCCTTTCAGTGCCTGCTGCCACATCCTGTGAACCAGGACAGGGGGAGGCCTCCGCTTCCCCAGAGGCCTCTTCTCCAAAGAGGTGAACAGCCACCCTGGGTGTGAGTGGGGGGGCATTTCTACTTCTCCTGCTCTTTAACAAAAAGCCCTGTGTATCATCAGGGGCAGGTGCCTGCCGGGCTGGGGCGAGCAAGCCAGGTGTGCGACCCTCCTTGGCTTAGCATCCCGTGGGGGGCAGATAGCCAAAAGGGCATGTGATATAACAAAGCCAGGGGTGGGATGGGGCTGGGGTCTTTCCTGGGAGGGCGCCCAGAGGCCTCTCTGCCACCTTCTCCAAGGCCTGCAGGGTCTATCTGCCTCTGGGGACACTGACCCTGGTGGGCGGTGGGCAGACTGGCTTCTGGTCTGGTCTGTCCCCACACCCCTGTTAGGGCACAACAGGGGTCAGTTCTCCCAGCCCAGGCCACGGTCCGCCTCATCAGGGCAGGGCGGCTGTCCTGAGTTCTTTCTTGGCGTCCCCTCGGTCCCTGCAGGTGCACTGGGTGCGGAAGAACAGTGAGTCCCTGCGCTCAGAGCACCCCAGGTATAGAGAGAAGGCCCGGAAGGGGGAGTTCCTGCCTGGGAAAGGGGCGCGGAGAAGGGGCCCTGAGGGTCTCCCGGCTCCGATTTTGCTCTATTCGTGTCGCAGAGGCCTGGGCTTCGCGGGGCGCGGCCTGGAGAATGGGAAGGGGGTACCTCAGGGGTCCCTGCAGAGGACGTGGGTGACGGAGAGGGAAGAGAGGATGCCTCGGGCTGGGTGGGACAAGGCAGCGCCTGGCTCCCGGGGCTGAGGGTCCAGGGCCGGGAGAAGGGGCGTCTGCTCCCCAGGAAGCAGAAGCGCGGGACAGCGCGAAGGAGGGACCCCAGCACCGGGGTAGCGCCCAGCAGGGGAACACCCCTCCCTGTCCCCTCCCGCACCGCCCAGCGCGGACACGCCCCCATCCCCCTGCAGCGCGCGCGGGAGCCGGGAGGGGGCGCGGGCGGGCGCGCGGTCTCGGGCGAGGCGGGGGATTCAAGCGCGTTATAAGGCGAGGAGCCCGGGACGCCCGAGACGCCGCGCTCGGAGCCACGAGGGACCCGCCGCCCGCATGGCCCCGGCCCGCCGCCCCGCCGGAGCCCGCCTGCTGCTGCTCTACGCGGGCCTGCTGGCCGCCGCCGCGGGCCTGGGCTCCCCGGAGCCTGGGGCGCCCTCGAGGGGTCGCGCCCGCGAGGAGCCGCCGCCGGGGAACGAGCTGCCCCGGGGCCCCGGGGAGAGCCGCGCGGGGCTGGCCGCCCATCCGCCGGTAAGACGCCGGGGTCCGCTCCGGACCCAGCCCGAGCCCGCAAGCCCCGGCCCGGGGCGGCTGCGGCGGGCGGGGAGGCCAGGCCCGCGCTCACCCCGAGAGCGGCAGCAACGCCCGACTCCGGGGCTCCGGGCTCCGCCGAGACTTAGGGCCTGGTCGGCGCCGCCCTCGGCCCGGCGGGGCGCTGCTGGGGGCAGCCTTGACCTTGGCTTTGGGGTGTTCTTCTACTTAAAGCAAGGTTCTGCTAGGTCGGCGGAAACCCCCTTTTCTTTTGGGCCAGAAAGGAAATTGAGAGCCAGCTAGGTAAAGTGTAAATGACTTGAGGAAATTGGGAAGAACGCGCTTGTAAAAAGTGTAAGAAATTACTGCCACCGCCCCCCCAATCTATGTGGCGCAATTCTCTGAAAAACAAAAACCTGCGGGTGTGGGGGCAGGGTGCTGTTCAGGGTGGGGAATGACTGGCTTTGCGTCGAGTGGCCTCTGGCCGGGAAGGGGTGATCTTGAGCTCTGCCCTGCCCCCTCCGCTTCTGGGTTTTGGAGCCTGGACTGCTGAGCAGAGGGTGGTCAGGTTAGGGAGGTGTGGCCCAGGCCTGGGGAGGGGACGGCTTCAGAGGAGCCCCAGTGTGGCCGGGCCTTGGGTCAGGGAGGCAGAGCTGCTCCAGGGAAGGTGGGTGGGCACAGGTGCTGTTTATCCCGAAGATGCTCAGGGCAGTAGAGGGGAGAGCCAGGAAGGATCTAGAGGGGGTGCGGGTGTAGCCAGCCCTGGGGGCCTCCGGAGTTCTCTATCCCAGCCCCACCACCCCCAGTCACTTCCCAAGGACTGAAGGTGCCCCCTCCCCCTGCAGTTGGCCAAACCACCCAGGTGGGCACAGCAGCCAAATGTCAGGGCACGGTCAGCAGGAGGCGGACAGGCTCAGGGGCTTCCAGGTGGAGTTTTGGCCTTGGACCCTGTTTGGGGGCACAAGGTGACACCAGAGGTCCTCCCAGGCTCCAAGGCTTGTTTCTGAGCGACCGCTCGTGGCCAGAACCAGGGCCCCACTGCTAGGGCCATCTCCTGGGACCCCAGCTAACATGGTTCTGTCTGTTACAGCTCTGCCCCCAAACCACACTGTGGTCAGAGTCCACCCACAGGCTACAGGTGCAGGCGGGAGGGTCAGCTGGGCACACCTCTCCTGGCCTGCCTGCTGAATCTTTGCAGCTGTTTCTGCTGACAGGGGCACCCTGAGGCTGTAAAGTGAAGAGGGTGGGGGGGGGGGTGGAGAGCCGCCAGCAGGTGGTGCAGTTAGCCCTGCAAGGCGCAGGGAGGCGCTGAGGGCCCTGGGCACCCTGGACCCTCTCTCCGTCCAACCACACAGCCTTCATCTTCCCACCACAGCACCCTGGCTTGTGCACTGGTCAGCCAGCTCCCAAAAGAAGGCCCTGGGTCCCCCCAGAGCAGCCAGGAACCAAGGGCAGTGACTTGGCAGCTGGCTCCGTCTCTGATAAAAGGGCATAGTCAGCTCCCCAAGTCAGCACCCATGACCTCATCTAAGCCCTCCTGGGTCGGTTTCCTTCCCAGCTGCAGCCTTGCCTGGAGCCCAGATAGCCCAGTGGGCCCGAGGCCTCTCCCAGGAAGGTTCTTCCCAAAACAGTGCTAAGTGGCAGCATCAGCATCAGTCAGGATGCAGCACACACAGGAATGGGGACTTCCAGAAGCATCACTGTCCGTGCTTGAGTCAGTGTCTCAGAAGTGCTGAGGAAGGGAACGTCCCATGCAGAGTCCTCACGTCACGACAGCTCGCCTGGTCCCCTCTCCCACTGGACTGTAACCAGAGGCGGCCATGAGGGCTGAATTTGCCTCCTTAGAACATCTGACAGTGGGGGATGGACAGAGGAGGGTTAGCTAGTAGGTGGGCTTCCTGATAATCACAGTTGCTTCTTCCTGAGCACCTGTGGGTGCCCCGGTGGTGGGATTCTCCTGGTGCCTGGAGGATGCTGTGGTCACCACAGCTTATCTGGAGGAAGGAGGCCTGGCAGTGCAGGCATTCACCCCGCACACCAGCCCTGCACCCCATCTTCCCTCCTTGCATCCTCGGTCTGCCTCTCCCATGAGAGCAAAGTCCAGGCCATGGTGAGGCCTGTTTAGGAGACCTCCATTAGGAGTCCTCCATGGGCTGGAAGAGAAGGTGTGAGGGGTGGGGGCCCCTTTGGGAGCTGCCTTTGAGGCGCTGCCTTTGAGGGCACCCCAGGTGACAAGGACCAGGGTCCCAGCGTGCAGAAGGCCACATAGTCACCTCCTGCAGTGTCCCACCTGCTTGGTGGGAGCCCAGTGAGGCCAAGCGCCCTGCTGGGCTGGCTGTGTTCCAGGAGCCCACGGATGAACGTGCACACAGCATCGACCCCCGGGACGCCTGGATGCTTTTCGTCAGGCAGAGTGACAAGGGTGTCAATGGCAAGAGGAGGAGCAGAGGCAAGGCCAAGAAGCTGAAGGTGAGCCCGGCATCCCGTCAGCACCAGGCCGCGGGGAGCTGTTTCCTCGCTCCTCACCCACTCCCACTACATCCTGACCATTTCCAATGGCACACCCCTCATGCCTCAGCCTGGGGACAGAGAACACAGAGGAAGAACCCAGGCAGTCCCAAGGGGAGCCCAGAGTTAAGGGCCTGGTCCCAGCCCTTTTCCCATACCCCTAGAATGCCAGGTACTCGGTGGTTCCCTCTTTTCTCCTCCCTCTGTGTCCTGGCCCGGGAGGCTGGGTGACACCTTGCTCATGCCTGCAGGAGTGTCTGGCTCCCAGGGGCTAGGGGCATGGAGTCCTGGCGGCTGCAGGGCTCCCACACTCACTCAGCCTTGGGTCTTGGCCTGGGCAGAAATTTCACACTTGGTCCTGGAGCTGCCTCCTATTAGCCCCAAGAAGGCACATACGGGGTGCGGGCTTCTCGGTCTCCTGGGGACAATCTCACTGCCTGGGATCTGACCGCACCATGGGACGCCAGCTTGGAGCACATGAGGCAGGTGCATAGGCTGGGCTGTCCCCATGGCCTGGCCTCCCACCTCTGCCCCAGCCTCCTGACCCTGCCCTAAGCTCCTCCCTGAAGGGGGCTCACTGGCGTCTGTTTCGGGTCCCAACCCAGCCTAGTGGGGAGTTGCTGATGATGGTGGACCCAGGCCCAGTGCAGACCCTGAGATGCAAGTCCCCAAAAGCAGCCTGGCATTCCTCCCTCCAGGAGGCCTGGCCACAGGAGCGGCTTCCGCCCTCTGCTTCCCCCTCAGAGCAGAGCCCTCCCCGGCCCCAGAGCCCCCACCTCCAACACGGTCCTCGTGCTCACTCCAGGAGAAGCTTTCACTGTTTGAGGCTGGAGCCCATGAAGCTCTCTTGCCTGCCTCTCAGAGGCAAGAGCTTGCACAGGAGATGCCGGGGGTCCCAGCCTGCTCCTCTCGTGTCCTCACAGCCAAGGTTCCCTTTCAGTTCGGCTTGCCAGGGCCCCCTGGGCCACCCGGTCCCCAGGGCCCCCCAGGCCCCACCATCCCACCCGAGGCGCTGCTGAAGGAGTTCCAGCTGCTGCTGAAAGGTAGGGGTGTGCCCCGGTTCAGGCACCCACACACCCCTGTGAGCAGGGCCTTGGGATGGTGTCCCAAAGAGCCGACGGGGCCAACCTCGCACTTCAGCAGACACCCAAGGAGGTACCTGCTCCGGGCTGGACTCCAGAACAGTGGAGCTGGCCCAGGTCTGCCAATGGTCAGGGCTGAGGGGGTCTGGGGGTTGGGGGGCATGGCCAGGAGGAGGTTCCACAGAGGAAGGTTAACTTGGCTAGTGTGGCAGGTGCTCAGGGACCAGCGCCCCTGCCCCGCCTGGGAGTCGGTAGCCCAGCGAAAAGCAGAGGCTCGTATATGGGGCAGCACCGGGTGGAGCTCAGCCTGGTACCCACAGTCACCACTGGCGCGGGCTGGGGCAGCCTGTGCTGGAGGAGACAGAGCTGAGCCCAGCTGTGGAGTCCGCACTAAGGCCCACTGCAGAGCGCGGCTCACATTAGTCATTAGAATTGAGCTGGTTTTTCCTTCAGTTCAATGTCCTGTTGGTTTAAATATAGCACCTTCTGCGCTGAAGAACCTCCCTGTAATTTCCAGTGAAGCTGCTATCGCTTATTTTGCCCCCAGCTTATTTGAAAAATGTGGGTGGGGTAGAGGTGAGGCTGGAGGCCAAGGACGCTGGAGCACTTCTGCCCAAGCTTCCCAAAGCGTGAGGGAAACGGGAGCCACTGCGGGGTCAGGAAGCAAAGGCTCCAAGGCCTCGCCCCACCCCTGTTTGCGCCCGTCATTCGGGGCTGGACCCACACTGCAAGCGGGTGAGGGGTGCCCGGTGCACGGCCACAGCTCACTCTGTGCCAGGCGCGGTGCGGCAGCGGGAGCGCGCGGAGCCCAGACCCTGCACGCGCGGCCCCGCCGGGCCAGTTGCAGCAAGCCTCGCCCCGGTCTCCGCCACTGCCAGGGAGGATGATGATGACGCGGTGGAGGTCGTGCTGGCGCTGCTGGCTGCGTCCCGGGCCCCGGGGCCGCCACGCGTGGAGGCCGCCTTCCACTGCCGCCTGCGCCAGGACGTGTCGGTGGAGCGGCGTGTGCTGCACGAGCTTGGTGCCTACCACCTGGTGAGTGCGGGCGCACGAAAGGGGGGTGGGGCCGGCCAGGCAGAAGCCGGGGTGACTGTTCGTGCTCCCCACAGCCTGACGCCGAGGGTGCCTTCCACCGTGGCCCTGGCCTGAACTTGACCAGTGGCCAGTATAGGGCGCCCGTGACTGGCTTCTACGCGCTTACTGCCACGCTGCACGTAGGTGAGCCCCGGGGCGTGGGGGGACCACCCGCCCTGCCTCCAGCCCTTCCTTGCCGCCCTACTGCGTGACCACACCCCACTCTGCCCCGCAGTGCTCGGGGAACCGCCGAGGAGGGGGCCGCCGCGCCCCCGGGACCGCCTGCGCCTGCTCATCTGCATCCAGTCCCAGTGCCAGCGCAACGCGTGAGTGAGCCCCGACCCGGACCCCATACCCACGTGCACTCGGCCTCCACAAGCTCGGGGTGTTAAACAGCCACCATCCTGTTTAAACAGGCTTCCGCCCATTCCCACCCCACCATGGCCTGGTTGACTCCACCCTCCCTGGTCTCCCCGTTTACTTCTGCCCCCAATCAGGCCTTCTCTTCACAGCAAGCAGGAGCTGTTAAAAATGACCTTTTCCAGGAGTTCGAGGCCAGCCTGGCCAACATAGTGAAACTCCGTCTCTCTCTAAAATACAAAAATTAGCTGAGTGTGGTGCGCCTGTAATCCCAGCTACTCTGGAGGTTGAGGCAGGAGAATCACTTGAACCTGGGAGGTGGAGGTAGCAGTGAGCCGAGACCGTGCCATTGCATTCCAGCCTCCATGACAAGAGTGAGACTGTCTCAAACAAAACAAAAACCTTTCCAGGCCACTCCCTGCCCAGACGTTCACCTCCCCAGGTCCTAGGAGGCCCAGCTCCTCCCAGCCTCCTATCTCCTTCCCAACTTGGAGACTTTCATTCTGGGGCCCCAAGCACCGGTATTACTCCAAGTGGCCTCTCCTGACAGCTTTCTGGATGCCCCCTCCTCAGTGGCCCTCCCACCCCTCACCCAGGAACAGTGCAGATGCTCTGCAGATAGCTGGAGAAGATGGGAATGAATAGATCAAGTCCAAACTGCTTAGTCTGGCTTTGAACCCTCAGAGTGTGTTGGCCTGAACCAACTTTTAGCATCTCCTACCACCACACCCCCACTTCTGGGTCGTTTCCCATCTGAGCCAGGGCTCTGCTGCCCCTTGCTGGGCTCTGGCCTTGCCTTTCCCAATACTGCAGGCGCCTCTGGCCCTCTCTCTCCTTCCTCCTCTTGGGACTCAGTTCAGATACCACCTCCACTGGAAGGCCTGGCCAAGGTCAGGCACTTGGCTGGGCGTGTGTTGGCTGCTGGCAGGACTGTGTGTTGTGGGTGAAGCTGGTGGTGTCTTCTGGGGCAGACTGACCCTCTTTGTTTTGGCCACAGCTCCCTGGAGGCTGTCATGGGCCTGGAGAGGTGCTGTTAGGTGCTCAGGATCACCAGGAGCAGCACCCTCAGACTTCAGGCCTGGGACAGGGTCCAGGACATGCCAAGTGCCCACCTTGGTCTGGGCACAGCCAGGCTTCAACTCCTGATCTCCTTCCTCCTAACAGCCCTTCCCTGAGGGCGCTGCCCACTTGAGCAGCTGCTCTGCTCTGCATCCCGATATTCAGACTTCCCGAGCACCTCATAGAGGCCTGGTACTTCCGGCCACCACAGGCCTGTTTGAGGGACCAGTGGAGGGAGGGAATAGAGGAGAGCGCTCTGCCCAGGCTGACGCCCTGGGTCCCATGACTGGGAAGCCAGAGATGTTATTTTCCTACTAAAACCCTAAGTGATCATGTCTTTCTGGCACTGTGGGAATTTTGGCAAGTGGTAGAGAAACTGACATAAAGGTAGAATTTATTAATGAAGAAAAAAATTGAGTGCAGGTGTGTAGACTAACAGCTGCTCTTGAATTCTCCCAGAGTTTTGGGGAAGGTAGTGCTACTTGCCTAGTTTGCCCAAATTCACACAGCAGAGCCAGAAATGGAGGCCAGGCCATCCGGCTCCAGAGTCTGTGGTTGTCAGGAGAGCATCAGGGGTCCGTGTGGGTGCCGCACAGCGTGCTTGGTGAACACAGATGGTCTGTGCACCACCTGGATTTTTTTT